ACTCACAGCAGGTTGTGAATCACTTCTTTGTCACTTGAAACTGCCTTCTATGAGATGTTCATTGTGCCGAGAGCAAAGACATCATTTTTATCAAGTTTAAAGCAAGGATTATTACGACGGTAGCCGAGATCAAAAGGGTAAACATCAACTGAAAATCCCGCTACGCTGGTCGGAAACACAGCATAGCGGCAAAATTACAGCGTAGCGGAACAAATTCACAGCATAGCGGCCCGCTATGCTCAAAAGGCCTGGCGAGAACACTGTGGTTGTCTTAAAGAAGCTCTAAAAAGGAAGTGTCCAAGAAAGTGCAGGTGCCTTCTGTCAGTTAAGACACTGTACAGGGGTGTCTGCTTAACCCACATACAAAACACAAACTCGCCTGGACTGTATACAAACCTAAACATGGTACTTAACTATACAGACTCACACATTTTAAGAGAGTATGGCCAAGTTTGCAAGCAGATTCTACAGTGGCAAGGCATCGGGTTCATTGTGAATGCAAGCAGAGTTCATCAGCCATTGGGCACTGCTTGTCTGACTAAATACTGCCTTACCTCCCTAGGATGATACTAGGATCTGCTTAGAGAATACAGTACCCAGTGGGCCAATTCACCAGAAGACATTAAAGGAAGTTGCCTAAGGCATCACCAGCACACTTTTGGGCATGTTGTTCTCTGACTTAATTGAATGTTTTTCGTGTACGTAAGGACCAAATGTACCCGAGCCTTAAACTAATTTGAATATTTAGTCTGTTAGCTACATTTGTAGAATACAATTCGAAAGTAGCTTGGACATACAGATGTGTATGTACATTGTAGATGTAAGACATAGAAGCTACATTGACTCTGCATACAGCATTATGTCAAAAAAGAAATTTTAAACTTATTACAGCTCTTTGTAACCAGAAAACTTATTTCAGTTAATTATACCCAGAGAAGTGCGTGGTCCATTTCTTTGCAGAAGTCTCTGAAAATCAAGGTGTAAGTCAACCATGACCTTCAGCCACAGCTGAAATTTCAGGCTGACAGAATGATAAACTGCAAGAAAAGCAAATTAAATTCCTCCCCCCTGTCAGGCTGTCAGTGTTCTGTGGCAGTTCTAATCCCCCACATGAACAGGCACAGGCAGGGCAGCAACTTCATCACCATATTTCATCCCAGGTTTGACTTATTACTCAGGCCCTGTGGAGTGACATGTAACCAACCTGTGACCTCAGTTTTCCCACAAATCCTGAGAGTTTCTAGCCTGGAATCCTATCAATGAACCTTAGACCCCCTACCTCTCATCTACTTCTGGAATTTGTACCGCTTTCAAGGCTGGATCACAGGCTAGAGACTTTTCGTTGGAAAAAATGTTATCTCTCTTTTCAACATTATATTAGTCTGTCAAGAATGTGACAAGTAATGTTAGGTGCTAACTTTGTTAGGGAAGTTCTTCACAGAGAAGTGAAAATGTAACTAGTCTCTTTCAAGGTCCAGTCACCAAAGACATAACAAAAGAATAACAGCGATATTTTAGAATGTCAGGAATTGTAGAAAAAAGCCCTTACCATTGAAGACCGGTGTTTTGTCAATGACACTTTTGTGGTGGAGATGCCAACACGATGACATCACCAGACTTTCCCAGGGCAGGTGTGCATTTGTCTCCGACTCCAAAAAAGGCACACTACACTGAGTACTGTAAATCTTGAAACGTTCATGGTAGTTTTATTTTAAGGATTTTGTTGGTGACCACTTCATTCCAAGCTCATGACACTGCATTTCCAATTTACTACTACTGTAGAAATGTTTCGGCTGCGTATTTACAGCACTGGGCACACCTCCTTTTCCCTCTTGCAACGAAATAAAAAAACTACTGTTCAGAGTAAATGAATTTACAGTAGCGAGAAACCGGAGCTGCTGTCTGAACCCTGGTCGCACAGTTCTGAGGCCCATTCAGCCCAACATTCCTCAGTAATCTGCACAAACAGACAGTCTTTTCTCACCTTCACGTCTTGCCAAACAGAGAATCCACGACTTTTGTCTTCTTCCCGCCTTTTCCCCCACGCACAGGGCTACACTCACTCCTGGGACGTTCCAATCACACTTGGGAAAACCCAGAAACTCCCCAGAAGAAATCCTCCATTCAATCAACATCATTCTGATTGGTGAAAAGCCCTTGACTCAATGCACGGCCATTAGGGATTGCCATGGCAACAGAACATCCCCATGGAAACGATGTCCCATCAGTTGGTCAGTGTCAATGCCAACAGAAACCTCCTGTTGAAAGATCCTCAGAAACAGAACAAATCCCCTTCACTCCCACTCCACAACAAGGAAGGAAGAAAAGCGAATGTCTTAGACAAAGCTGCTAAGTCCACACAAGAGGAGGTCTCCCAAGGAAGAAGTTGTTGGAAGATGTTGTCAACACACACTTGTGGTGCACACATTTAAAGAAAGCTCCAGCCTATAGTGGTGTTCACTTAAAGAAGTCTTCAGTCTTATGGTGTCTGTACAGCCTGTAGCCCAGAGTAAGCTGGAAAGCTGTGCAGGAGAGAGGGCAAGCACCACAAAAACAAACATTGGACACAGATGGGTGGGCAGGGAAGGGAATTTAGATAAATAGGGAAGGGGCCAGTAAATAAGCAGCTATTTCAGGCCTAACCAATTTACTTTGTTGGGTCTTGGATTAAAAAAATAATGCTGAGCTGAAAGATCAACATGAAAACAGTGTGAAGGAAAAGTCAGTTTCTGGGAGTGAATGTAGTCAAGTTCAGGTTTTCTTCTCTGTTCTCACCGTGTCATTTGCTAGAAGAAAATAAGTTGTTGTGTATGACCTCGGGGAATCCTCAAGTCTGAAGATCAAAATAGCCTCATGAAGCCACTATCCAAGTTTAAAAATGAAATGATAAACAAATGGAAGACGAACATCAATACAATTTCTGAGGGGGAAGTCTGTTTTTCTGTACCCTCAGTTTCAGGAATTGATTATAGTCTGATTCAAGCCTTGTGATATATCTTGTTGACCGAAATCTTTGCCTTAAAATGTCAGACAACCCAGAAATAAATTGCTGTGCGTGAGTGCCTGATGTAAATGAGAAGGTCTTGTTTTTGCAGGGAGAACTTGTCAGTTGGTGTGACAGTTGTGAAGGATTATGTTTCAGAAACTAGAGGAAAAGTTAAACTGATGACACAGCTGCCTCCTATACTGACATGTCAGTGCCCCAAGCTCTTTAATGTCTCAGGGTATCAAAAGGAATTTTGACATGAAAAATGCAGCACACAAGAATAGTTGAAAATCAACGTTACACTTTTATAAGGGTTCAAAAACCACTTTCTAATACATTACTTGCATCAAAGTCCCTTCACATACTCAAAATAGCTCTCTGCCAATCATGAATTAGTTTCTGTTGTTTCGTTGTTGTTTTTTTCCATTAGTAAAGAGGGGGTACAACTTCCGCAGAGGGAAGACTGAAAAAAGACTTTGGACATAAAATAACCACATCCAGTTGAGTACGACACTCTCACTCAAGTCAATTCTGACCTGTTTTGAAGATGTATTTTTGGACTGGCAAAACTAAAGCAGCTGATCACAATAAATTCAGAGGAAAAATGCAATGTCAGGAAATGCTCAAAAGGGTTAGAAACCTCGCCTGAAACTTAATGAAAATTTATGCATGAATGTACTAACCTTAGCCAGCAAAGCAAAGTCTCTTCCCATGCTAGTCCCAGAGTAGCAAAGTAAGAGCTGTCACATCCTCCAAATGTCTTGACACTGTCAGTGAGCGAGCCCTCATGTCTTGCAAGACAGAGCAAGCTTTCTCCCTCCACATCTGGAACAACATCAGACATCCTCAGCATTCCTTTAAGATGAAGCTAAGGACCAAGGCTTGCAACCCTCCCCATCCCAGTCCAAAGGGTAAAGAATGCACTCCCTCTCAAAGAATCCACAAATCGGAATGCTTCTAGCTGTCACCCCCTGCTGAATTATGAACTCTCCCACCCTCTGGGAGTATTGCATTACATAAGAACAACCTGCAGGGTAAGCGGGTGTGACCAATGTGTGGTGAGGGGGGAGGAGGGACTGCCAATCACCTATAGCCTGATTCTCAGCTGCAGGGGATTGCCCAGATCAAGATATCAGGGAGATTCCACTGGGAAATAAGAAGGGGGGGACAGGAAATGCAGGAAGAGCTGCTTTTAGATATCATTAGACGAATTGTACAACAAGGAAAAGGGAAGGGTACTTCATATACTTTTTAAGGAACTAGGAAAGTACCAAATGAATGGGGAAGGCATGGCAGGAAGAGAGAGGGGAACAAAAAGTTTACAAGTCCACTTGAACTTCATGCATGGGCTGGTCCAGTGTCGGTGGGAACTTCCGCTCTGACAGACAGTAAGGTTGCCCCTGTTTTAGCTTTGAACTTTTGGGAAGTTTTTAAAAGGTTAAAACCTAGCCTGTGTTACACAATCTTGTCAGAGGCTGATTGGACCAGACCAGTAGTAGGGTTACTACATGAAGATGCATGATGTAGTCAGGCCCTAGGAAAACCATGTGACTCTCAGCTGTTGTCTCTGCTTGTCTTGTTGTAGCATTTACGCACTTTGGCTAATGTTCTCCCCATTAGTGATCTTCCATAGGAAACAAAGCCTAACCAATCCTCCTGACTGCCCCTCTCCCACAAGCACACTGCTAGAGTTTGTTAATCCACACAACTTTACTTCCTTGGTTCTTAGACATTTCAAGCTAGTTAGTGTAGTAGTACATGAAAACAGTAGGCTGGGTTGAAAACCTGAGTCTGTGTTCGTGTACTAAGGTACAAACGTCCCCTCTGATGAATTTGTTTATGTTGATCGAAAAACAAAATAAGGAGGTATTCCACAAATTCTATTTCCGCCTTCCCCAAGAGAACAACCAAATAATTTTCATCATGTGGGATTTGAGTCCTCTGTCTGAGTGGGCTGGTCACTGATTAGCATATTTGATGAAGAACAGAAGAACAACAAAAATATTTTGACATATTTGGATTAGCCAGATGTTTGCTGAACATGAGCTGGCCAAATGACCACTAAAGTACAAGTTGTTACACTTCTTTCTATAAGTATATGATATAATTATAAATGCATTAGAAATGTTGCTTTATGCTTAATCAAATCCTGGATAGTGAGTGAGTGGAGAGAAAGAGTGGATAGTATGTTTTTTGAAGTACATGTACAATGTTACAATGAATTTTATGACAGTTGTTAAAAAAAGTTTGCTTGGGATAGAATAATCAAACAAGGCATAAGTTAAAAACCCACATCTGGCTTGGAATCCAGACCCACTGGTTTGTGTTAAGAATGGAATGTATGTCACCACAAGCTGATTATGCTTTTAACTTACAATATGGTGACCTAACATCCCTATAATCACTGCCATATTTTCACGTTTTTTGAAAACAGTGTTTAAACAAAATTTAATAGAGAGTCTACAGCTTTCAGATTATAATATATAGAGTCACTAATTATGTCTTGTACTAAAGTGGCAATAATCAGGGCAAGAGATGGTTCCTACATCTGTCCCAAGACTCCTGGTTAAAATTTATGAGGCTTCCTAGAAAATGGGCCCTTGTTAAGGTCAATTATGAATTGCCATAAACCCCTTTCAGGCCCTCCAGGAGTGACAGTTGACAGCTGCATCCACTTGACAGTCTTACCTGCAGTCAAAAACTGCTTAGTAGCCTTTAGAACTTCATCATTGTTATCAATGACTAAGCATAACTCTTCGTACAAATGCACATTTTTGGCCATACATTTGCTTATGTTTATGAGCTCTTGACTTACTTCTTGCCAAAAATTAAAGCGTCATCTAAAAAAAAACTGCTGCTTTTTAACAAGAAAGGTAAATATTTCCACCTCTCCTGCAGTCTGTTGCACCTTGTTTTAATTCAGCATAACCAGAGGAAAGCCCAAAGCCAGCTGTCTGAATCAGGTCCATAATTGAACCAAATGGTAGCATTCAAACTCCATTAAATTCTGATGACCTAGATTCCAGTGTCATTGCTTCAAGGCCATGTTATTTTCAGGTGTTGATTCATTGTCATAATTTTATCTTAATTTACTAGTGAAGACAAATTTACAGTTTTGTACAACTACGTCTTTAACCTCTTCAAAGCTTTGTTCTGTTCAAACCCTCCTAGTCCTGATGACCTACACAAAAAATGTGTGCCATTAGAAACAGTAGAAACATCTAGAGATAAAGTGTAAAATGTCAAGCCTCTTTGAAATCTGTCACTGCAAAGGTCTCACACCTAGGTTGCACTTCGTATATACCTACATGGCACTTAGGTCTGTTACTACACCCACACAACATTGAGGTATCACACCTACGTGTTGCTCGGGTATCACACCTATGTGACACTCACCTCTTCTGTTCACAGTGTACAGCAACCTGCGGGGTCGGCATGCGACAGAGAACAGTCACCTGCACCGACCCGCTGGCCAATCCTGTGGACGACTCCTACTGCGATGCTGACACCAGACCTGAGACCTCAGTGGACTGCAACGAGCGCTCGTGTGTAGTGAGATGGACTCCTGGAGACTGGTCAGAGGTAAGAAAATTAGTATCAGGACAACTCAGAATATTACCAACTTGGCCCAACACCCTGATCAAGCTGGTTTAACACCGTGTATTTATGTACTTGGATAGATATGGGTAGTCTGTTCTGTCAATTTGGGCTGACTTCCAAGGAAGCCCTGTGTCGCTCCTTGACAGGTTAATAGAATACATTGCATCTTGGCACATGAAGACGAGACAGCCAGTCTGTTTTAAGACATGACACAACAAACCAACAAGTTTACCCAGTGCAGACAGTGTCCCCTGCATCCTTGTGCACTAAACCACCCGAAAAATCTATCCTCCAAACACCTGCAATCCTTCCTAACATGGCATGCAGTCCATTGTTCACCAATCCTCTTTCTGGACCAGCAGGTCGAGCATTCAAATCTCTCGTGTCATTGGTCACCTGACTTGTGCGCTACTGGAAATGGTTGCAGTCCTTACAATGGTACATTAAGCTGCAATCCATTGTTCCTTGTCATTGTCATCTTAGGCAGGTGTATTGACTTGGTTGTGTGCAAAGAACTTTGTCCAGTGATTTAGCTACCCAAACTATCCACAGACGGTTTGAGACAGGTCTGAATGTCCTTAAGTCAGTCCTTACACCTGTGTTCCTCCTCATCTCAAGACATCGCCCTCCCATGTCGCTGTATGGACCCTGAACCGTCTCACCTCCGGGTGAAGCTTTGGGCAGGTGTGCAGGGTTGTTTGATCTTGTCTCATGTGACAAAACAATCCCACGCACCTGTCCAGACGGCTGAAGTGCATCCTTGTCTGGTCACTCAGGTGAGGCGGCCCACAGTCCAGGTCACTGTCACTTGCCCTCAGATCTTCCGCACTTCTTAAAGAACTTCAAGGGACTGGTTTGCTTGGATTGCGGCTTTCTTAGACAAGCAAAACTTGTCTTATCAACAAGTAAACAAACCATTTCCACTTGAAATTCTCATCCTACACCAGGCTTACATGTATGCTTAAGCTTCATGCTACAACAATTCAACTTCTTGGTTCACTAAGTCTATTGATCTTGTTGTTTTAACAAAATTATACTCAACTGGAAGGAAACAAAGCTGGAAAAGTGAAGAGAATCTTGTACACATTTTAGTCAGGTGCATGTTTTCCTCACTGCCCTTTTTCATCTTGAGCCATAGGTCTAAAACATTGCTTGAAAGTGTCCGAGAACCAAAGTTCCTGCTAGCTTTGGACTGGATTTGCCTCTATAAACAACAGAAACACACAGGAAAGCAGCGGGCAACTAAATCTGACTACTGAGCCTTTGATTGCTATTTTGGTTGAGTAGGACATCAAAGACAGAGGGAAATCTCACAGTACACTCATCATGTTTTCTCAAGCCAAATCAATTAGGCCAGTTGCTCTGCTGAGCTGGGGAGAAGGAATTTTGCATCCTACAAACTCCTGACACAGTGCATTCTGTTTAGCTCTGGCATATTTGACTAACAAAGCAAAGCTGTGTGGTAAAACATACTATGCTAAGAATAACAATATGTTTTGGTGATGACATGGCACACACACCAAGCCATTGTAGTCTCCTCTTAGGAGATATTCATGTTCTCTTCTTTGTGATCTTTTTACATCGAACTCGAGAAGGCTTTCTTCCCCCCCTCCCACTTCTTTCTTGATGTTGGCATCCTCACCACAACATTGTCATTAACAAAAGAGGAAATAAAACCACGCAAACATTTCAAGATTTACAGTGAGTTGTGTACTTACCTTGCAGTGTGACAAGCCATGTGGTCCGGGGTTTGAGCACCGCTCTGTCACGTGCCAGGAGATCTCGCCCACGAGATGGAGCGTCCCGCAGCCGGCGTACAAGTGCAGCGGACCCAAACCCTCCACCATGCGGGCCTGTAACCTTGGTGACTGTCGGTCATTCACCCGCTGGAGAACTGGGCCCTGGTCTGAGGTGAGAGACAGGATTGTTACATAGGAATAGAGAAAGTAATGGCATACCCTGTTTTCTTAAAGTTTTATTGAACTGTCATCTATAGATGTTATGTAGTCACTATACTTAATTTTACCTTAACTTTGCCCTTGATGATGTCTTCATCAGCAAGCATGCCTTTGGGTCATCAGAGCTTTTAGGGAACAACCAGACAAACACAGTGTACTGTAGGGACTGTACCCTGTGCAAGAGAAACAGTTTTCATGTGATTTTTCCCCTATTCTGCAGTGTTCAGTGACATGTGGGGGAGGGCTAGCCAAGCGGTCCGTGCAGTGTGTCAGTCTCACAGGCACCACCAAGCCTTCCCGGGATTGCAGCAGGAAACCTGCCCTCAGACCTGACTCACAAAAACCCTGCAACAAGGGACCATGTACGTTCTCAGGACATCAACAGTCTTTTCTCTGTTTTATGTACTATTTAGGTCACACCAATTTACATGTACTTCCGTGGTTTTCAGACATTATAAGGTATAAACGCGTAGCAATTATTCATTGTAAAACCAGAGGTCAGGGAGGAAAACTTGAATATTCACTCCATTAAACTGAGTGCAACAAGGCATAAACTTGGTCAACAAGCTTTGCTTTCGTTATTTTCCAAAGTCAAGCGTATATGCTTTTAAATCCGAGAACCAGTCTTTGACCTTGGTATTACACAGCAACTGATCTGTTTTGAAACTTGATTGAGGTTTTTGACAGTGTAGTTTCTGGTCATGCATTGTGAGGAGTACAGAACAACCCCCAGACCACCACAGTTGCCACCTTTATGTTTGACAACAGGTTTAAGCCACATGGACATAACTCTCATATTTGAAGCTTACAGAGACTTAGGGTGAAAGCCATGATGATAGCATGGCTTGAGGTACTGAAAGTCGAGGCCATAGGAGACTACAGGCAGATTAAGGAGTCAAAAGGGCTAGATACTCTAACCTCGTATTGATCAATCCTACATGGAGTCTCCCTCCCCATGCATGTTCATACCCAGCCCATGCCTTTTAGGGTTAACACTGACATGTGCATCCCCCCAGGTTTGCCCAACAGCTGCAGCGAGGTGCAGAAGTTGGAGAGAGCGCGGTACGATGGCGAGTTCTACCTGCACGTGCATGGGAAGATCCTGAAGGTGCGTGCAGCTTTATAATATGGCAGCCTTCAGTCAACATTAGCCTGGTAACCATCCCATCAAGAGCTCCCAGCTACCTCTACAGTGCTGGGAGTGTTGACTGGAAAGCTTCCGACTTTTTTCCCTGGGGCCAAGGAAGCAAGTAGTTTCCGTTGACCTTGGTGGATCAAGGGCATAGCAACATGTGTCAGAATCTCAAACTTGACAATCTTAACATCCCAGCATTTCAAGCATGCAGCTGTAGCTGGATAGGCCACACTCATTTAATCAGATTCAAAGAAGTACATTTGTTTTATTATTCATTTATCTATTATTCGTGAGCTGATACTAAACTGGAAGGATGTTATTTCCTCAGGTTTACTGTCGAGACATGGAGACCAGCCGGCCGAGCGAGTACATCACGCTAGCCGGTGGGGAGGGGCGGAACTACGCTGAAATCTACCAGAAAAGGTAAGGAGTGACCAGCAGGCTTCCTGGGGAGTCGTCAGTATGTTTGAAGGAGGAGGTGTAGCAATAGCCAAGACTTAGTAAGAGCAAATAAAGTTTGTTACAATAACTACACCTAAATTAATTTCATCCCTGTTGTAGCTGCCTGCTAATTATGGAGGGTTGTAACAGGGAAGGAACCGGTGCCATGGTTCCCCATTCCTTTCCTTTGTCAGAGCCTGTTGTGTTTCTCTCTCAGTTATCAGTTAAGGAGGAATTTCCTGTTGTAGGTCCATGTTTACTAAACCAGAATAATGGATTTCATTGTTTTAATGACAGTGAAAACAGTTATAAACACAGGTGTATCAGGACATGCTTTGCACAAAGGGAATATCAATATTATGATAATGGCATCTACGGTGTCTTTCTTACTCACTAGAAAAAAAGTTTTAGAGGTAGCCTGTTCAATCAGGCCCTGACATCATACTTCGATGAAGTTTAAGTAGGCTTCCTGATCAGAACCAAATTTGATGTGAATTGTACCACTTTATTGACAAAAACAATTGCCAGGACTGAATGAGTAAAAAGGTTCTGTGCAATATGCTTTGATTGCTCAAAAGTTGCCAACATATGGAGACAGGCTGTTTCCATGTGGGAAACGTCAGTGGTTAATGTCACTTTCTCCCTTGGACTGGCATGCTGGACGTCAAGTTCAAGAGTAGTAATGTTCCCCTGACCTCTTCCAGCTGCGACCTCTTCCACATGCTGCCCCCCTCCCCACAAAGCTGAATGCCAGTACCCAGTATGCACCATCTGGCATAACCAGTCTGATGCCATCATTGCCAAGACTGTTACAAATGGTGCGAAGAGATGAACTCTTCTTAATCAGTCATGAAGTGTGAAGATTGGAAAAGGGCATCTTTTGAGCAGGTCATCACCTCTGCCAGTTGATGTAATCCTTGAGGGAATTTTTCAAAGAGTTCCCCGAAAAACAATGGACACAAGTATCACATATGCCTTCCTGCTGCTAGCTTCTTTTAGTCAAATCTCAAGATGTTCAGGAAAGTTGACTAAATGACACACATTCAAAATTATTGATTTTCTCAGAGTAATTCCACAATAAGCCAGTATTGCAGGAAACAGGCTTTTCAGAGGAACCCATGAAAGCCTTAAAGGTCAAATAAATGGAAACAGCTGTGTCCATCCAGCAGAACAGGTGCACCCTGACTTCAGTAGTAGGAGCTTGCCAAGCCTGGAAAATTAGCTAGCTTCTAACAATGCCAAGAGTTACATGTCTAAAGCCTAAGGCATATACAGTCTTTTGACATACATGTACATTGACCTGCCCGCCAAAGCTGACCTGCCCAGAGTGGTAGGAAGTGCATGTACAATGTATTGGGTCTAGTAATGAAAGTCTGAAAAACTGTAGTTCCTCCACATTCAGATTGTAGATAATAATTCCAACTTTGCCAGAAAAATGACTGATTAACCCCTGATCCAGAGAGAGGATTCTGGTCTGTTTTGTACCTAATGTTGTTTACTTTCAAAGACTCCTGCTACATAAACTGCTGTGTCAGCAGAAATATCCTTTGTCTGGTGTCATGGGAACACTTTCCAGTTAGCTAAACGCGTAACGGCTCAGTACCTGCGCAAACAGGCTCACAAATCTGTTACCACTGCACGACAATGTCCTGTTTTTACCAGCAGTAACACGCAGTATGTGTTCACCCTGACTTCTGTACACAGACTCTGCAGTTCTACGGAGGGTGCTTGCTGTTACTGTGGCAACAGGTACCCTCTCAGAACCTGGATAAACAGTGCAGGATGGGATATAAATTCTGTCACCTTAATCAAAAGTTAATGTCCCCCTAACCCTACAGTAATAATAATTATATTTCATCTGACTGACTCTAAGTTGTTGTTTTTTAAGTAAAGATGAGAGCTAGCTATCATATATGTATATAATTGACTGTCATTAATGCAAGCTTTTCACCTACCCCTCTAGTCTGTTCAACCCTAACCAGTGCCCACATAACGGGAGTCGGAATGCCTCCTGTCAGTGTCACGACAAAGGCCACCCAGACGCTGGCTACACTGCATACGACAAGGTCCGCATCAGCCTCGACACCATGCAGATCAGCGGTGAGTACTAATGCTGTCACAGTGTGTGGTATTGGTGGCGTAATGGTCAGGTGGCTCGCAACAGTTCCATGGCCCACTGAGGCTGAGAAATCAATGCACTAACACTCTATGCAGCTGCAGCAGCTGACCTACCTACGGCAGTGTCCTAACAGATACATTGCCCAGGATATAGCCTAAGACAGAACACGGTGACAGAAACAATGCAGCAATCAGAGATGGTAGACTACAATCCCATACTGCTTTTTGATCCCTCTGCCCCAGCAAACAATATGAGAGGATGTATGGCAACACTGCATTGTGTATATTGGGAATAACAGGAACACACATACAAACACACACACAAACACACAACAGACACACATAAGCACATACACAAACACATACACACATACACATACACATACCCATACACACACACATACACATACAGACACAAATAAAGTGGTTTGCTGGAAGTGAAGTTAGACCACCTGTGCTGCCTCAGCAGTGGTGGGTCTGGGATGAACACTAACATGTCCATCAGCCATCACTAGCCATGGTTTGACCCCTCCGCTAATCTCTGTTAACCCAAACACAGCTTGTAGAAATGCCCTTTTCGTGAAGACAGACAGACAGAGAAAAACATCCTCTGATTGTTTGTGTATTCTCTGTGGACATCCTCATAGACTAAGCAACCCCTGTCATGACTTACAATGAAAACTGGACAACACCACTTTTGGGACCTTTGGTTGAAAGAGTGCAGGAACAGTAGCAGAAATGTCAGAAGCAGGTTTGATAAGAAAAGGCACTCTGACTGGGAGAGAGCTAAACTTTACACATTGGAATGATGAGGAAAGTATGCATGTACATGGATGTCAACAGTTTGTCCCTTGATTCACACACAACATTACAAATCCCATTGTTTTTTCAAATGCAGACAAAACTGCCCAAAAAGATCACTCTGGGGAGCAATAAAATCTGGTCTATGTGAACAGGTGGTAACAATAGATGTGGGTCTTAATGCAGTAGACAATACACTAGACATGTTAACCATGCAAAAATATGAATGTAACAGTTACTGTTATTGTTTATTCCCCCACCACCTCCAGTAAGTGACATGCAGTTCGCAAGGACAGTCCATGGGAAAGCGGTGCCCTTTGGTAATGCAGGCGACTGCTACAGCACTGCACGATGTCCACAGGTAAGGAACAAAACTGGGACTGCCCATGACATCGCCTCTAGCAACTACAAATGTAGCTACATGTACTTGAAAAGCACCCAGCTTCAGGATGATTTTCAGCGTTCAGTCACTAAGAAGGAATGGGACATCATACATACATAAACCCCTTGAGTTTAACTAACCAAAATGTGGTCCACAGAGATCTAAGATTACAAGACATGAGGCAGTTTTGACTGAAGTTAACATCCTAAAATGGTGCCACAAAGAAAGAAAAGTTAGATGGTCAAAGTCTGGAAGAAAATGTAGTAGTATATACTCACAGCTATATGCAGAACTGGGTGAGTTTTCCTCTTTTATGTGGGATCCCCTGACCATGGCAGCAGCATGGGTAAGTTAGTCATCAAGATAACTCCCTTGGATTGGCTGGAACCTCTTTTCTAGCCTTTCTAGGCTATCAGCTCACTCACAGTTCCTCTGTCAGTCCTGACATCCTAGTTTGCAACAGCTCCATGTAGAAATGTCCTCTGACATTGACTGTGGTCCCAGAATCTTTCAGTAGATATTTCGCTTCCAATGAAAAGCAGCCATTTTTGATTGTTCAAGGTCAGTGGGGTTGTAGAAGGTACTCAATTTTCAGCTGAAGTCCTGGAAGCTCCTGGCAACAGACCAGCTTGTCTTGATCGAGACTCTCCCAGCACTCTTCCTCAACTTAGACTGCAGCCATATAGATAGTTCAAGGTCAGCAGGGTCTCAGTCCTGAACCTCCCTGACAGTAGACCTGATGTGGACACACTTTTTGTCATGATCCAGATCTACATATACACTGGGAGTGCCTTGTGTCCTTACTCCTTATATGGTATGACAGATGGACGAATCCTGTGCAGATCTTGAATGATTGACAGGCCCCCAGAATGACTGATAGCTCTGCTGGCCAGCCCTTATTGTCAGGAGGTGCTTGTCCAGTGCACATGGCTGCTCTGTTTACATTGAAGATTAAGTACCCCTAAGCAAATAGTGACCAGTAGTGAAGTAGTGTACTCTGCCTAATTTGCAGGTCTATCAGAGCCAGTGGACCTGAACAGCACAAATTTGCTTCCCTGTCCCCCCTGGCTGAACAAGAGACACTGAGTTTACAAGATCATATCTCCCCACAGGAAGTTATTGAAAAGATCCCATTAAGGGAGGCTGGGTGATTAGCATGGCTCGTTGCACAATCATCCTCAGATTAATAATAGGAGGACCATCTAAGCTGTGTGCGCAGGATTTAGAATAGTCCGGTTGTTCCAGGACTGTCCCAGCTGTGCAAATGTTGGGGCTGCCCTCTCAGTGAACCAACACAAAGGCTGATAACAGAAACTATGTCAAATGTATGCACCCTGCCCAGGAGATAGTCAGTGCTTATCACTGTACAGTTATCACACAGCTTCTCCAGTAAAGTGTGACTCTTAATCTTATTGTTAAAACATTACAATCATGATTAAGGGTCTTAAGAGTACTTAAAAGTTTACATTACAGGTCAAACTACTTGGTAGCGTACTGAATTATGTCTTCTTACTTCTATATTGGCATCCAGAAAATTTAAAGAGAAGTTTTCTTTCAACCATACTGTGAGTGAAAACCTCCTATTCCCACCTACTGTGAAACATTCCACACAGATAAATTAACTGTTAGATTTGTGGCAATTTCCTTCCTTTTTACTGGAGGGAAGTAACTGGATCTGTTTGATCTGTTATCTCAGGAAATATCAAGTCAGCACTTTTATCAGACAAAGTGATCACAAATTCCTGAATGGCCAGGCAAGTCATCTTTGTAAAGGCAGGGATAGGAAAATGCTTCATTTGAGACTGTTCTAAAAGTGAATGTTTGCATGACTTGTGCTCTGGTCACTGCAATTTAATTTGTTTTCCGATTTTTTATAACAAAGCTTGCAAAAGGAGAAAAGGTAAAATCCAATGGGCATTCACACTTATCCTTGAATGCAGTGGTTGAGTGTGTATGCTCACCTTTGCTTGTTGATGACTCTAATGATGCATGCAGCTCTCAGACCCATACCTGCAACAGTGGAGACATGGTCAACTGTTGTGATAGACAGTACAAACAAAATCTATCTATTCTACCTGTGCAAACCCCAAGATTAATGGCTGTATGTGTGGGGGAGGGAGGGGGGCAATGGGGCATAGCAGCCAGGGCACTCCAGTGGGATTATGGCTACATGTTTACTGATGTTATCTTCACATCAAGATCTTTTCCAAGATACACAGTAGAACTGAAGGTGTCTCCTAGCCTCATTCCCACTCTTTGGCTTCTGGCTGACTGTTTCCATCACCTACATGTACATGTACAACATGCTACCCAGGAAAATTTACCTTACAAACTTTGGAAATTTCATGGGGCAAGGCTAGGGAGGTGGAAGTGATGAGTTTGTGGTGCAAACGTCTTTGGTTTGCAGCATCCACACTGGGGAGGTATTTCCATTTACGTGTCTTGTTTGTTGTTAATTAAGGAAGAAACAAAACAAGAACACGCCATAAACAACTGCAACAGTGCACAGTTAGTTGTCACCATCATCGTGTGCTTAGACCCTCAATACATAATACATAGTTCAAGAGCTTTGCTGAACCCTTGCAGCTAAATTCTAAGAAAGCTTTATCCTGTATACCCCCTCCACATATACAGCCTGTGAACTCTCCCATAACCCCAATCCACGTCCTTCTGTAAGTAGCTCTGCAGGGATTGGGCTAATGTTACTTGTTCACAGCACATGTACAGATGGTGATATTCATTTTCAGTGGGGGCAAATGTGACTGCTTGAAAATGACTTGTGGAGGCAGAGTGATCCTCGGTGTTCTCAGGTTCAACAGGCCCAGCCGTCTGCCAAGACGGTTAAGTCTTTATAGCAGCCCTCTGATGAAACAGGGTGAAGGGCCAGAACCTCAAGACATCTTGTCTGTGCAGCTTCCAGACTGATGGGTCTTCTTAGATTAAAGACAGACTTGAGAAGTCTGGAGGAATGACTACCAAGAAAGATGCCTAAGGCCACACCAAGTAAATTTATGGATGGCATCTGTGTACATTGATTTTTGTTTGATTTAAATAATGACACAAATGCAAGAAATTTTGTTCCTGTAGAAGTGTAACTAATTATAACTAATTATAATTCAGCAGGTATATAAGTTGCACTTCTAGTATTCTGGTAGCCTTGAGTGTAGTTGTGGTAACATTAGGCTACCACACTAGTGTCACTCATGGGACAAATAAAATGTGGACAGGTGGTTACTATAGCTATATAGACAGGATTCTTAATGCTTGTGAGTGTTGATGTGAAAAAGTGGTGACATTGGCCAGGTGGTCCTTGTGTAGAGGTTGTCACTTGTGTAAAGGTTTGACTACTGCACAACTGCAAATTGCCCCCCCCCCCAGGTTTGCGGATACCTTCTTGTCCTCTCTAAGTCTTCTTAAAATGTCCATCCTTCCCCGTGGCTTACTGGGTTCAGGACTCCAGTTACAGACTACACTAATGAAGGTTCATCATGGACAATTTGCTGCCCTTTTGGAAAACCTTCCACCAGGGGAGCTTGAAATTCTGCCAATTTAGAAAGGAGGAATCCTGTCTGAAAAGCACTTGAGTCATTGAGTAGAAGATGTCAAGCTGAGAGGCTGGCTTGGTTTCTGAGAAAGAAAGCAGGTTGTCTGCTTAAATATCTCACAAGTGGTGGATACATGTAGTTGAGGAGAGGGCACCAAGACTTGCTTTTATCATTATTAGTTCTAGATATATATTTTCAAGAAAAACATTCTATACAACTTAATCTAGAATTACAGTGCCATACATGTATCTGTACACAAAGGTTAAGACTTAAAACATTTGTGTAATCAACTTGGTTCAAATTGCATTAAAATGCAATTTGAATTTTTCCATGAAGTGGATTAGCTATATAACTGTTAAATGTAGTGTTGAAGTCAGATTTGAGGCAGAAAATATGGAAAGGAAGTTATGCTAATGGTGCAGCCATGCAGGTCATCTTTAGTTAGTTAGTAGACTGTACTTCTGAAGATTTTGGTCTCACTCCTGGTAGGTAGACACATTTGGTTCTCCTCAGCACAAAACGTCAGGAAGGAAATAGGTAGAACTTCCTGAGTGGAACCAGGTCAACTCTTGAGCAGGCAGCTTTCTTGATTCATTGATTGATTTGGCATTTTAAGACAACTTGAAGAGTTCTCAGAGTGCCTGCCTTAACAGGATTAGAGTCTTGTTACAAAGGAAATAGTTTTCCTTCCCTAAATGGTCAGTCATTAAGACTTCTTGTGCTGGAAAGAATGCCTTCATCAAATTGTAAGTACCATTGTAGAGTCAGTAGAGGCATGGATTAGGCTGGTATCAGTCCTACTTCAGCTTCCTAATGTTGCTGTCCTGCTAACAGTATTTGGAGTGAGCAAGTGTGAGCTAAATGGGATGATACCCAGGCTAGAAATGGATTATGGGCTTGTGAAATGGCGCTGTTGGGGTTAAAAAAAACATTGCCAAACTTTCTTTTAAAAAGTCTAACGGCAGTTTGTTATGTCCTTCTTGGGTACTGCACAGTTTTACTGAGAGACCGGATCTGACAAAATGGAGTCTAGGGGACACTTTCAAAGGTGATTCCCCCTTAGCCCTGCTACATGTAAACTAATGAACAGTCTTCTGGAAAATTTCTACTTCATTAGGCCACACCAGTCTGTTTCATTGGTTCTCGAACATTTTTAAGGTGAGAACATGCCAGTAGCAAGCACTATAATATAAAAGCGGAGGGTAGGGAGGAAAGCTTGAATATGACTGTACTCACTCCATAAAGCTGATTGTACCAAGTTGTAGGGCTGGGAGAAAACTTTAAAACTGACACCCATTATCGCATGTACATGTTCCAATACTGTGCACTGTTACGTGGCAGTTAAGAGTTCAACTGGTCAGATGAATCTGTGCCAAAAAGCTTATCTTGACATTACAATGGTGCTTGCCAACTGTGTAGGTACATGTACATGTAGTAGGATTGAATAGCCAGGTTACCATGGCTGCATTTGTCATTTTCAACTATAATTAATATGATATTAGTCAGTACAAAATGTACATGGGGGATTGGTATTTGATATAGGCAACTTGTTTACCTGCTAGTTAGGGTATTACTGCCTCTGAGCAGGTAAAAAAACCACCATACCTTCCCATATGTTCTCCTACCTTGCATAATGCTTGCATGGATCCCAGATTTCTGACTGCTGAGTCTTTTGTACCATTTCTTGAGCATCCTTCCCAACTGCAGTGCTCCTTGGCCAGTCTTCTGAAGAAGCTGGTTCGTCCTGAACCCAGCTAGCACTTTGCTGTTGCTTTACCCAGAGCTATGCTTGGATTGCAGGTGGTTCTAGTCCTTGAAGCCTGGGAACCAATCTTTAGAAGGCAACCGTTCCCGCCAGTGGCGAACTTCCGTTCAGTCACGTTCGCTCCCTATGGAATCCCACACTGCACACTGACCTTCCTTCCAACAAGAAGCACAGCAGAAAGAACTTTACCAAAGAAACCAGAGGAAGGCGACTGCCAGGTTCAAGTGCATCTGTAATGAATCACTGGAATGCCCCAGTTCTGGAGCTGCAGATGAGCTGGTGATCAGGATTGGTGATGGCAGGGGAACGCTCCCTCCTGTCCAGGACTTATCAGGTCCTGATTCCTCTGGTCTGTCTGGGCTCTGGGAAGGATGCCTCCCAAATAGGTCCCATATGACCGGTGGTGGGCCAGGAGTCTGTCTTGTAGCTGGCTGGTACAGGCTGGTTAGGGTTTCAGGTCAGCTGGGCCGTGAGTCGGCAGCAGTCCCCAGAGGGTATAAGTGTAGTAGGGAACAATGGACAAGACTCTGCTGTAGGCACTCTGCTCTTTTAGTGGTTTTACACTTGACATTTGTGCTGGTATTTCCTACCTCGGAAACAGTTCTTGTTGAAAATGAAATGTGGTAATGGTATCAAATGTAGGAGCATTGGTGTCACACAATGAAGAATGGGCAAGTGTGCTTCTGGGCTTCATGCTTCTAACATTGACATTTGCACTTTCTACTCAACTTTTTGTTTACAACTCCCAAGAGTTTTCCCTATGGGACAATGAACTTCATTGTGTATATATAATGGACAAGACTTCTTCTGAGAGTTGGCACATAAGAAGTCTAAACTTGACATTTGATACTCCAAGTTCAAGCCAAATCTGTTAGTGTTGAGAGCTTCGTTTGTTTTCCCCCAACAATAGCATGCCTTTCCATGACGACAACGTGGCAAGGTTGTGAGTTTGGTTGTACACAATGGCGCAAAGATCACTGACTGCAAGCAATTAGCCTTGAACTTGTTTATAAACAGATCATCATCAAGGGCTGATCACTATCACTGAGCTGAAACATACATGTACCTCCTGGCAGACTTCAGGGGCTCTGAACCAAACCTTTACATCAGGAAGTGCCATGTCTTCGCTTCTAAAATTGGCCTTAGGCCACACCAATTTGTTTCCTTGGTTCTCCGACATTTCTTAGTTATTTTTAACAAGAGGATATCATAAAAATAGAGGACTTACAGGAAAACTTGAATAAGCCCGTAATCACTACTAGTAAGACTGTACCAAGGTGCAGACTTTCCATTCAGCAAGATCTTCCAAATGAGCATTATACAGACTTTTAGATAAAAATTGGTGTGGCACTACTTGGTTGTGGTTTAATAATTTTCTTGAATGTGGTTTTAGGAAAACAAGGATTTTGTAGAAATAAAAAGAAATATCAGGAAGAAGAATAGATGTGATGGTTTTTACCCTAAGGTTCATGGAACAGAAAATTCAAAGATACCCTGAAGATGGCACAGTGCTTACGTGTATATCGTTAAACGTCTGAGGTTTGACAGGAAACTTTGCTGGTTGGCACGGAGTAATTCTGGCAAGTTCTCATACATAGCACCTAGCAAATTGCAGTAACAAGCCAACTTGGAAGCCCAAGAAAATAAATAGCTGAGAAAGGGGCAAAGTTTCAGGTAGGGTTCCTGGGGTCCTCTCCAGAAGTCTGTGATAACTGGAGGGCTGCAAAGGTGACAAACAGCAAGTCCAAAATAAGAACCACATGGGGTGCACAGAGAGTAGCCCCATGCAGGAGAGAAGTTTGCATAGTTCTGTTAGATTTAAGATAAAACCTGCAACTAACGATGCTGGGGTCAAGGAGTTGTTTTGTCTGAGGAGTCAATTACAGGGCCGTGAAAGCGATCTTTTCAAGCAGTCTATACTTGGGTGCACCTTGGGTGTGATGCTGCACAGGTAGTAATGACAGGTTTAGTGGACGGAAACTGATGGACTTTGCAGGATAAATACAGACCTCACAGTTACAGAAACGTCTTGGGAAACTGCAGACAAGTTTTACAGTCCCCACTGCAGTGCTGATGATACCCTGTCTGACCCAACTTGGAGTGCAGGTCACTGTGTTAACTAACTCCATCCTCCTTAAGTTTCTCCAGACTTGGACTTTCTTACCTCAGTCTTGACACGTTCCAACTTCTATCTTGGTGGAAGAGAATGTATGGAGCCAGGAAGAAATTACTCCTTGGGACGAAAGATTGCCAACCATGGCCCAGTCAGTACTTCTCGAAATTTAAAAGATAAGCAAACTCAAGGAAAGGTTTTCTGCTGTGTCAAAGTTGCCACAGGAAACCTTCATGTACTACAGATGAAGGCGAGACATTGTAAATGCACTTACCAAACCAGGCAGGCATCAACACATTGGGGAGACAGCGCTTGAAGAGCAGGCGTGTGTACACAATTGTGCCAGCAGAATAAATGTTTACCGAGCCCTGTAGTCTGCGCAAAGTAATTCTTGCCTACCTGCCAGGAACATGTTGTGGCCAGATGTTAGGCGAGGCACTCTCTCTCTCATTCTGCAAACTTGCAGCATATTTGCTTAGCCTGGAAGGAAGCAGAATGCTGTGTGGATGTGAGGGTGTTCTGAAGTGGTCCTGCCAGCTAGTCGCTCCAATTCCTGAGTTATTGGTACCACATGGGCCTGCTGCAGGCCTGGGGGACACTGATGGGCTGGGGGCAAGTGGGGTCACCTGGGGGGACAGGGGATGGGGACTTTTATAGGAGCCTGCATGCCCCTTCTCCGTAAAGCATAAGCTATATTCAAATTCAATTTTTAGTAGGGAAAGCTATGTCCTCGGAATTCGTAGCGAGGTAGCCAGGTTTTGCATACTTGTCTTTCTGAATTTTGGCCATCCTCCTGACTAAAGCATAAAGCGTTGTGGGGACCCAGCTTCAAATGCACAGCATGATGGATAATCAACAACATCAACTCTCATCCACTGGGTACAAAAGACTGCAACAATTCTGATAAAAAATATGAATTTGTAATTTTAAAAGATCTCTTGGCTTTCTTGTCGAAGATGTACATTACAGTCACTTTAATTTACAGTAACTAAATGTAGCATTGTTATTAGGACTTCTGCACAGTAGAGATATCAGGACATTCTTGAGAAGGCCTTGAGAATTACTAGTATGATAGTTGATGTTAATCTACTCCTGCTGTTATGCCACATGGCTACAAAGTCTGGCATGTTGTAGAGGCAGTTTATCATATCTGAAGGTCCTGTGGTCATGTATCATGTCTTTGATGTGCTATGTTATCTTCATCAGCTCTGGCAGTGGGATGACTTTCAAAGTTGGCCAGAAGTTCCCATTTTATTAGAGTCACTCCAAATTTAGGGGGACAAGTATCGGTATTGTATGTTGCACATAAATGGCAGCTTAGATTTGGTCATGCCCAAATCCCAGAGAAAAAGTTCAAGTGGTGCAGTTCTGTCTTGAAGTGGCTGTGACCCTAACAGTTTCCAGTTCCTTGAACACCTGTTAGCCTTGATTTTCATTCCCCCCACCCACCATCTTTTACAAGCTTACTGTTTACAGCTTTCCCCAGCTTTCAATTTCTTTGTTGCCTCTCAATTTTCTCAATTTTAAACAAAAGTTCTTTACTCAAGCTGTGGGCGAAGGAGCTGGGCTGAGGATGGCCTGGAAACAGGCTAGTATCAGAAAGGGCTTCTGGGAAGGTGCCTGATAGTCCAACAGAGTACAAACAGCCCACATGTGGCCTGACAGCAGATTTATGTCTAGTTCTGATAACCTCTAGATAACCTCAGCAGCGGTCAGATTTAGTGGGTGTCAGGACTGGGCAGCCTGGATGTGTTTGTCTCACTATTTCCTGGATTATGACACTTGGCAAGAGGTTGCCTTGTTGCAATAATTAGAAGGGCCGGCTGGAAAGATCTAGCATGTCAGGAGAGGCCTTTAGAGAATGGTAACCATGAGGTAAGTTAGAGACGTCAAGTCTTAAGATCCTGTGTTTGAGGTGAGCCAGACTTTGAGCATGTTGAACTTGAAACACTTGACCTCTTGCTAAGATCCTATGCAAAGATGTCTGAGAACCAAGAAAGTGATTTGTTCAGGCCTTAACATGTTCAAGGTGTGAAAGCACAAGACTGGCAGCTCAACATTCCTTCCAATGGCCTGCAAATCCCTACCAGTAGCATGCATATCATGCTTCACCTCTCAAATGGTTAGACCTGGATTCGAATCCCCCAACCCAGCTATCCACATGCCCTGGTTCAGTCTATCATAGGCTCACTGGAGCTGAACCAGTAGTTGAGTCAAACTTAGATCTGTAATATGGTCTCCTCTGTTGCAACAGAAACATGTTTAAGTTGTTTGTGCCTCACTAATTTTCAAAACATGCTTTCTGTGTAAGTGTCTTTTAGAATTTTCTAAACATTGCTGGCAGGGTCCTCAGCCTCAGGGCTACTGATGATGACTGGTTCTACTTCCCATTACAAAGCATTGAATGACAAATCTGATGAAGCTGTGTAACAGAAACAGTGTATCATTCTGCCTAGTGTTCATACATGTATGATTGTACAGATGACTAACTGCTCTCCCTGGATCACTGCCCTCCAGGTCAGTCAGTGCATAGAATGTTAAAATTATTGAAAGTTATGATCAGTGATACCATACAAGAAAAACACCATGATCACAAAAGCCCTTTGCAAAATTTTAGAGTTGTGACAGGGAAATCTACCTTTAGCCAGAGCAGTGAAGACACCTACATGTAGTACTACAGTAATCCCTGAGTGAAAGATTAATAGCCTTGGAACTCAACACCTCTAGAGGGTCTTGGGATGAACACTTCTGCACAGTAGGTGTGGTAGGGATGGAGAATTAATTAGGTCAGCCTCTTCTGCAGTAGCCTGGAAGCCAGACTGTTTTCAGGGTCTGCAGAGGATCCAGACTGGACCTGCGTATGCCAGATCCTCTGCTATTGGACCACAGGGGTTCTCTTTCAGGAACCATCCCTCTGTGTTTACATGATAACACCTGCTGACTCTGAAACTTCTCTTCAAGACTTTTGCCAAGTGTTGAGTTCTGTTTTTACTTCTCATGACCTTTCTGGTGCTCAAGGACGTGGTGAGATTTGGACAAGTTGTACTTCTGGCAGGTACATCATGACTTGAAAGTGTTTGGTACTTCATCTGCCAGTTTTAAATCTATTTTTACCAGTTTCCTCTGATCTCTGTTAAAGGTTGTTACACAGAATGATTGAATTTTGGCAGATACAGTACATCACATATTTTTGTCTGCCAGTTTCCGGTTCGGTTGCCATCTCTTCTTGTAACCTCTATTCAAGGTCATTATGGTGTTCCCACAAGGCTGTTACACAAAATGGATACTTGCCACCCCTGGCAGCTCGTCAAAGACTGATGCTGCCAATTGAGTGTTCGTAAACACCAGTCAAGTTAAATAATAGGGAAAGACACTGGACCACAAATGTCTTGCCTAATTTCTCCTTGCTTCCATCTGCACCTTGCCAACTTGATTTTTCATTAGGGCCAAGTACATGTACAATACAATACAAGTCATGTATATGCAAGTTCTCTTGTATCATGTTTTATTGCAGTGATTGCTAGATTTCCACTTCGTATGTCTTACGGTGACTGGAGCATGTCATTACTGATCAATGGAAAATACTGAACACGTGATATAAGTTAATCAAACAATGTTTTTGTGTGTTGCAGGGAGTTTTCAACATCGACCTGTCAGGAACAGGACTTGGTGTCTCCCCTGACACACAGTGGCACACACAGGGCAGGTTCATCACAGCTGACATCAACAGGTCACAGGTCAGTCCCACTTTTACCTTCGAACTTAAACCTTTGATATACTATCACAATCATGACACAAATTCATTAAAAAGTAGTACCATGTCTCACACAGGCCGGTTGTAGTGTAATGTTTAGACTTAAACAGCCATCAGATGACACACAGTAGCTAAATTATAAGTATTGACATGCATGTTGTGTGAACATCCATGTAAAACTGTACAGAACTGGAGGAAAGGATATAGAGGTTAGATAAAAAAGATGAAATTTGAACTCCATCCATAACTGCACGTCTTATTGCATGCAGGGCATTTTCATCACAGCTGACATCCACAGGTCACAGGTCAGGCAATGTTGCACCTCTCACTCCATGTAACATGCACAGCTCATGTAGAATGCACAGCTACATGTACACTTACATGTATCATGTAATGTTACAATCAGAAGTGACCAGAATTGAACAACTCTGATTCTTGCCTTTTCTAAACTGCTGACATAGAATTACAGCTGGTACATGTATATGCTCACAACGCCATAAGAAGCTTTGCAGGTGGTGTGGTGTGCTGTGCAGCGTTTTAAGTAGATCGTATTGTTTGTTCACAGAGTGATATTTGGCACAAATGTGTACATGTGCATAAATTAAATGATGTCAAATATTATCAGAAATGATGTCAAATATTATCAGAAAATGTTGTATTTTGATGTAGTATGGTGGTTAACCTTGCCCATCCCTCCCGTGCAGGATGGCTCCGTGGTACATGGCAGGTGTGGAGGCTACTGTGGCACCTGCTTCCCCAACCCTGTCTCCGGACTCAGAGTACGCTTCCTCAGATGACACAGGTGAGATTGACCTTTAAAAGAATGTGATTTTGGTATCTGTTCTGTCAGAACCTACTCTAAGTTTTGAAGTACAAATTTCTCATGTCTGACTTTAAGTTTCAAATATATTGTAACTCAAAAATGTAGAAACTATTTCAGATATGAAAATAGCCTGAGAAATAAAAAAAAGCAAGAGACCTGCAGTTTGTTGATGGATCAACAGGTGGCACTGCTGTACTGTACGTGTTAAAACTGGAAGAAGGCCATAATCATGACTGACAACAGTTTTGTTCTCAACCATTCCAGGTAAAAGAACCAGCCATGAAGCAGTGGCAGCGGAGAACACATGAATCCAGTCATGCCAAGTTTCAGATCAGCACCTTATGGTGCTCACCAGAACAGTAAACAGAAATATCAAGTATTGATGTTAATGTCCATAAACATGAAGCCAGGTTTTTCCTAATTGCAAGATATTCAAAGTGAAGGCTTTATGTCACTGTGACACTGAATCAATACATGTAGGTGTCAAGACTTCTCCTGGATGGTGTGTTGCCTGGACAACATGTTGCTAGGCCACGTGTTACCATGGTAACCCAGGACTACAGGTGTTATCTCTACGTAAGTTTTTGTACTGGAAGCTTCCCAATCACAATATATTAAATCATCAGCTGTACAGTTTTTGCCTGCTGCAGTATTTCATAATGTTAAGCAGCAGGCAGTTGAAATGGTGCTCTTCTAACCTCTGTCACACTGTCCTGTATCTTACCATATTCTCATTCAGTCTAATTTTGCCAAAGGGTTAAAGGTGACAATCATTATTCTTGTTCTGGTACAAAGTGTACATGAAGTAGCTTCATAGCAACATTTTGAATGTACCTGTACCAGAACAAACTCTGTAGCAACATGTCTGTTCTACTTGTACCAGAACAAACTCCATAGCAACTTCTGTGTTACATTCTAAAATGTACCCGTACCTGACCTCCCATGTTTGTCCAGTAGTATACTGTACAGAGGGCAGTGAGTTAGCATGTGAACCTGTATGAGGTTTTCAACAATTTGAAATTCCTGCCCCGTTGTAAATACCATTCCATGCCAGAGGCTCCTTTATTTTCCTATATATGTATATTGAAACAGCATTATTTATACATGGGGGACATGTATATTACATGATGTATCACATGACCATAAAGTGTCAGCGATGTATATAGGGCTATGGGGTGGGAGGGGGGTTGGAGGTTTTTATGGTCATGCTCTGTAATTTGTGTATGTAGCTATTGAAGTATATGATGATGACTTTGGCATATTGAGCTCTCGGATTCATAGTGTAGTGGTAGACATAATGAAAAAAAAGGACTTTGAAGGCAATGAATATAATCAGTACATTAAGATGTACAAGAAATTTGCAGAGATTTTTTTTGCCAACATTTAAGATTTTAGTTGACCACTTTTATTTTGTAATTGTACATACTTTCAATTCATTATGATTTACTATCATAAGACACTTTTATATCAAGTAGATCAGTTCTTATTAAGTAATGACTTGGAAACTATGTTGTCCTGAAGATTAAAACATTGTAGACATTTTTTATCTAGTAGGTTATTGATACTTAAGGAACTGTTAATGGGCACAAGTACATTTTTGTAGAAGTTGTGTGTTAAAGTCACAGTTTTAAATCTGGCTGCCGATTGTGTAAATTGTTAAGTTGCCATGGAAATGCTTACTCTTCAACTTTTTCTCTGCAGTTTTCTTCTGTAATTGAAATACCACATCTCTGATGCCTGTGTAGGAAATAGTAATGGAAAGTCAGTATTAACAACTCACCGAGCCGTGTGGTGTTAGGTTATAGATGTTTACTTCTGATCAGTGCATGCTCTTGGTATTTTCATGTATGATTCATTAACCAAGGCAGCTCTTGGATACAGAATTTGTAGCAGTTTAGTTCATGAAAATGTAGCAACAGGCAAAGTGGAACGTTTAAATTCCTCAGGAACAACAACAACATGGTGCTTTATATGTACTACAAATGTATCTGATCTTGGAACTTGCAAGTGTTAATATATATATTATGCAATATTTTAAATGCTGTTATGATTATAATTATGATGATCATAATTATTGATAACTTCCATTTTGAGATCTGCCAAAGCTAAGGGTGGATGCAATGTTAGCAGTCCAGCTGTTTTTGTTTTTTAGTACCTTTAAATTGTGTTAAGTTCCCAATGATCAATTTGTAATATTTATATGAGATTCTGTTTTTGTAACATTTTGAATAAAGTAAGAAAGTGATCCATGCTGTCACGTCTTTATCTCCTTTCTTTTTAGTTTGGCCACAATCACACATCAGAAACATACACACATAAAACTAGAGTTCCACGATCTCATACCTTCGCCAAATGACTATGCAAATAGGATCCTCAATTGCATTAATTATATCTGTTGATCATATTCTACACCAAAATACAGTCTTGTATTAACAAAGAATGCCATTATTATATATAGCATTTCCTCATCAATTGTGCAAATGAGGCCCTTATTTGAATAAGTTATGTTTAAATATGTTCACATTCACTTAACTTTCAAATACCCCAAGTATGAAATTCCAGGCAGTTAACACTATGGAATTATAACATTTTCTTATTAATTATGCAAATTAGGTCGTCATTTGCATAATTGATATCTGCCTGTGTTACTCTCATTCTTAATTACATACTGTATGTCACAAGCTTGACATATTTCACATAGCCCTGTCATGGAATGCAGCTGATTTATAGAATTTCAATTATGCAAACTACATCCATATTTGCATAATTGTAATATCATTATATCATTCTCAAGTCGCCAAATGACAAAATTCCCTGTGCTTTACTTCCACTAAACAACAGTAACTGCTTTGATTATTGAGTTAAATAGAGAGATTAGTTAAGCTAGCTAGTAAATTGACTTTCCTGTGTGTGGGAGGTGTTCAGCACCAAGGACAGGTTTGCGTGTGTGTGGAAGGGAATAAAGCGCAAAAATAGATGAATAGGAAAATTGGGCAAGAGTGTTATGTTTCATACTGTGGCCACATAACAGATTATTCTTGAAAACGTCTATCTGTGATGATAGAAATACTAATCTAAAGGTGCCCTGTAGCTGCATTTTTACCCATTTTTTTTACCGAGATTGACATCAACGTTAGTATCCTTCGTAATTAGATAATCTAATCGTCCTTCTTCGACACATATAAGTGCCTGGCACCAAAACGGGCCATCATTGGTCGTCATAATTAGATTATCAACTTGACATTAATTATGTACGGCCGTTCTGCACACCTGTGTAAAAACAGTACAGTATAATATTTGTGTGCAGTTTGAAAGAATTCTAGGAATTGTACAGGAATTTTGTCCACATGTTTCATTATGTCGACCATCCACGGAAAAGGTATTGGCCAGTGTTCTGCCTAGTTCTCTTGCAAGGCCACACTGATTTAATTTTATGGATGACATCTGCATGCACATTGATTTTTGCCTGTTCTAAAAAAAAAATCACCTCGGTGGCTCTGGCCTGGGTACGTAGTCCATGGAAGCTAGTGACAGTAGGGAGCTGGTAGTACATGGATGATGACAACCTGGCTACCAAACTTTCTCCACAGAACTCAAGAACTCAGTACAGTGCCGACTCACAAATGTTGCAAAAGTCACTATCACTACAGTATAACTGCAAATTCACTATACCAGCTTTTTATTCCTGGGGTTAAGCAACATTTTTTTAATGGATTTTTTTTTACTCACCCTAGCGCAATAATTTTGGGGTATTTATAGGATGTCATCCATATAATTATGTCAGTGTGGCCTAATCATCCAACTACTTATCTCATGCTTATAAACAACTGTGGTTTAATATTTTACTTCATGACTTGAAGCTATTTTGCTTAACACAACTCACTCAGGGTAAAGAAAAAGTTATGAATTTCCTCTACTATCCATGCTTGAGTCCTTATGATGTCACACATGAACAATTATGTTAATAACACTATGATGTTTTTGTAAACACACTATGGTCTTTCACTTGACACACAGAGCTGCAGTACCTGAGTATACAGTGCAGTTTTACGGAATACAATGCTACGGTGGCTCGTAAGTACAGGCATGCATGTCTGCGTGCATACCTTCCACGTCTGCGCGAATACCTTCAACATTTGGGCAAATACCTTCCACGTCTGCACAGAAAAAACTTCCTTGCCTGCGCGAATACCTTCCTCGTCTGTACAGAAAAGAGTATCCGGAAAAGATGGGCTAGGCTCGGGTTAGGCTACCTTGATGGGCTACCCTTTCTGGGCTCCAAAGGGTGTGCATGGGGGTTTGATCTCTAACAAATTTATTAATTTTGACACAACCCCTCCCCTTCTATCCCCTGTGGGCTAATTACACTCACAGGAAAGCTTTGATATGAAAGTATAACGTTGTTAATACTCATTGCAATACAATAACAGGGGACAGGTAACAACTGTCTGGAAAAAAACTTCTACTACTACTACATGTACTACTACGCTAGGTATTTACGCTAGTTATAAGGGCTAAGCCATTGATGACACTACCAAGGTACATGTAAATGAGGCACATCCATATTATTAACCAAACTAGAATTCCGAGATCTCATACCTCCATGAAATATGATCTTGATATGTAAATTTCTTCTTTAATTGTGCAAATGACCTCTGCATTAACATGATATATGCATCGTGATGTATGTTAACTTTTGATTAACTTACAGATGTCCCAAGTATGACATTCTCATCATTCACCATTATGAAATCATAGAATTTTCGCATTAATTATGCAAATTAGGTCATCATTTGTCATAATTAGTATGTGTTGAAGGTCCGCCTGCCATAGGTTACATACATTACATGTATGTAAGTAGTATAATGTAAAACACTGCAATTATAGAATTTCCTCATTAATTATGCAAATAAAGTCCTCATTTGCATAATTTGCATTTAATTATGTA